CGTGCATTGCACGGTCCATCAAGATGTATTTTTTTTCACAAAACACCTGTTGTGATTGACCCATGCGGGAGTAATCTCATGTATAAAAACTAAAAAATAATGATATCTCGAGAAAGAGGAGAGATAAGGTGGGAAGAAGTGGGGCGTGGTGGTGATTTATGGTCGGACTGAGCGGAGACATAGGGATGGACGACGCCGGCAGCAGCCACCATGCCAAATTATTTCAGAGGCTTTTTTTTTTAATTGCTCAACAATAAGATTGTGGGAGATAAGAATGAATGAGGGAAAGCCTTATTTGTAAATATGAAGAGAGGTAGGAGTATCTTTTTACAAATTGTCTCGGTTTTCTTTTCCTGTAACTCTCTCTACGCTGCTTGCCGGCGTCACAATAGCTACTGGGACGTCCGCGTCGTTCCCATCATTCCCGATTGGGACGGTTGCTGCTGGCCCGATGTTCTCTCAGCTGCTAGGCCATGCTTTCTTCAACACCAACACCGTCATGCCGGCAATCCTCTTCACTTGGTCTGCCTTGTCCGCCATATCAACCACGGAGAGCTCAGCTCCCAGATCGGGCAGCCCCTGCCTAGCTAATCCAACGGACCTGCTGCATCGGCCATCGCAACCACGGGGGGGAGGGCCTATGCCAACTCCCAGATTGGACAATCCATGCCTGCCTCGGCTCTACCCGACCTCACGGTCCATCCTTCGGTTGAGGCACCTCTGTCGCCTCCATTTCACTTCGGCCATCTTCACACCGTCAAGCTCTCGGCTGACAACTACCTCTACTGGCGTGCACAACTCCAACCTCTCCTTCGCAACCGTTATGATGCGGAGCATCCTTCGGTCATCCCCATGGACCTTCCGTCGCCTCACCAAGCACCAAGAGGACCCATGACAAGAGCACGAGCTCGAGCTCTCGAGACCGAGGTGACTTCTCTCCTTAGTAAAATATCATATGACCCTCTCGAGACATGGCTACTACCTCAATCCGAAATGTTGTGCATGATTAGGTATCAGGAGGACCCTCCCGAGGATGCACATGAAGATGGACAAGACCCCAAGTCCAAGGAAGAAGTGAACCAATGGAAGAAGGCAAAAGAAGCTTCCAAGCACCGGACATCCGGCCAAGGTCCCGGACATCCGGTCCCTAGAGATCCACACGGCTAGCCCCTGCAGAAGAAGGCTACGGCAACCGGACATCCGGCCTCCAGCCCGGACATCCGGCCACCCACCGGAAATCCGGCCTCCCGCCCGGATATCCGGCCCAAGCATCCCGAATGCATCGAAGATGGCCCCAACAGCCCAGACATCCGGCCTACGCACCGGACATCCGGTCCCTCCGGAAGCACCGGACATCCGGCACCACCAGCCCGGACATCCGGTCCCTCGTGAACCACCGGACATCCGGCCCGACGCCCGGACATCTGGCGCCCCTGCCTGCGCACAGCCTCTTTGGGCAGAGACCCGTGTATCCCTTCGCCCCTTGACTATATATACTCCCTCCTCCCGTACGTTTTAGGGTTAGCGTTGATTTAGCTCAGATTAGAGATAGAGCTTCGCTCATCCATCGGATCTCCTCTTCGTGAGAGACCGCGGCCTCCTTGGAGAAGATCCAATCGGATTCAAGACCCCCTCGTGGGAAGATCCCCTCGCGGATTCAAGACCTCCTCACGGAGAAGATCGGTTACCTTTGTATCCTTACCTTTGTTGACTTTGGATCTCGTGTATCTCTTTGTGTTCGGTGATCTAGCACTCGTGTGATTGATTCTATGTCGGTTTAGTGTTTCTCTCTCGTTTTCCCCGTGTTTCCCCTTCGTGCTTCCGTGTATTCTTCGTGAATCCCCGTAGGATCCCCTCCAAACGTGAAATATCGTCCACATAGGGTTCCGCCCTACATCATCTTGGTATCATGAGCCACGTTGATGACGTTTTTGGAGCCCCTACCCCTCTTTTTCTAGCTTGATTTTGTTGTTTTCGTCCTAAATCCGAAAATTCCCCACCAAAAATAGCCCCAAAATATTTTGTGATTTGTTGGTGAGTTGAGATTTTGTTGGATTTGGTCCATGGATTTGTGTTGCTGCGTGTGGATCTAGCTTTCCCCACCCTCCCCACCCTTTTTCCATCCACCAATCTGTCCAAATTTTGCCCCGGAATTGCGAATTTTCCCATGGAGTTCATCGCGTTCGTCCCCGATCCAGGAGCCCGGACATCCGCCGTGTCCACCGGACATCCGGTGTACCGGACATCCGGCGTCTGGCCCGGACATCCGGCCCCTGGCAGCAGCAGTTCCACCCCGCGCCACCATCCACCATATCCTCGCCCAATTTTGCCCCGGAGCCCACGTCTACTTCCGCATACCCATACCACCTTCAACAAACAGCACCACCGCTAACCGCTACCTCCTATGTCGATTTTGACACGTTTTGGTCTTTGAGAGTTTGGGTTGTAGTTTTCCGTGTCCTATTGTGTTTCGGCTATATAGGTACGGTTCGACTCCATCATCACCACCGCTCATCTCCATCGACTACTCATCATCGCCAAGGACGGTAACTTCGACGACATCTTTGTCATACCTTGCAATTGCATTGATAACCCACATTGCCTCATTTTGCGTAGCTTACCCATCGAGACTAGCCGTTGAGTATTGCAGGCAACGTGACTTGTGCACATTAGTGATCATACTCCATAGCATACATACCATACAATAGTGGTGCATATCTTGAGATCAACTTGTGTGTCACAAAGTTGTCATAGCATACACAATTGTTATCTTGGTTCGTGAGATTTTGCATAAGAAAAGATCTCAAAAGTGAAATAGCCACCCAAGCTTTTAAGCAAAGAGGAAAGATAAGCAAAGAGCTTATAAGCAAGAACCATAGCATCATACAACATTAAGAATGTCATATCCGATCATCTTGGATCATAGCACCGAAATATCATACATATAGCATACTTGGGATAGAGATCGTTGCATTTTTGCCTTCTAGGTTGTGCACAAGTTTGCGTATCCGCTTATTGTGCAATCGTGCTAGCCTCTCTCTAGTATTGTGCAACAAGAGCATTTTCGTGGTTTCCACATTTTGGCTCACTTTTGGATTGCACAATCCCATTTATCTATTTGCGTGTGTGTTTCCGTGTACCCATACTTTTTTGGTCTACTTGTTGCATTTGCAAATTTGTGAATCTTTTCCAACA